TAACTATTAATAATGAAAACCTCCTGTGTTTGTTCGTTAGTTTTCATCGCCGTTAGACCTTTCTCTGGAAGTTATAACAACATGTCACGGACAAAAGGCAACAACAATAGCGGGAGTTTGTTTGCTCATAACCTTAACGTGTCAGACAAACAAAAAACTAAGCGCTTCCCTTAAAGGGACCGTTACCTGGTTAAAACCTCCACCCTCGCTTGCCTCCTTCATAACATATATCATTTATGTCTCTTGGTGGGAATTTTTTTCTGTTTACTGCCCCTGAGCCGTAATTTTCACCTTTCCCGTTTCCCTCGAAGGGCAATCTTCTGCGCTCTGACGGCTATTTTTCTTATGTTCTCCCCGAAATTGTACAGTAACGGTTTGGAGTTCAATGCACTCGTAATAGGATGATGGTCTGCCTAAACTTTCAGGTGAGTGTTTGGCATTTTTCCTTAGAGCACAGACTTTGTTTCAATGTTTTAAGATATTTCCGAATTGTGGTCTGTTGAACACTAAAGGCTTCGATTGAAGAGTTTTTGATGATGTTAGTGTGATCAGTTACAGTTAGTTAGTATTCCACAATGGTACTTGCTGGTTATTTATGCCACGCTGAAGGCCTTGCCACAAAGGCTTTAACAATGAAAATTTTATGAAATTAGGACATTCTGACGATTTTTTTACTTGCACAGATGATATACAATGCGACTTTATCTCGTGATAATGAATCACTCATTTCTCGCCGCTACAGCCCAGACGGCTAGATGGACATTTTCTAGCACAACTGAAGCTTAATTCTTTCCAGGTAATGCAGCGGATTTTGTGTATTTTTTAAAAATCACTTGTTTCTTGGCGGAACTATGATGATGAGCAAACGGCTGGAAACACATTGTCGGTGTGCGCTGAGCGTTAAGCTGTGCACAGACCGAAAATCCAACGCCGAGAAAACGAATGCAAGCACATGTGACGTTGGCGTTTGTTATTGGAAGGTATTGGAGTGCGCTCGTCTACACGTCGTCTAAATTTAGTTTATAGTTGGACCGCGTCGGGTCAAGTTTGGTGCTAATGTCTAGCGACGAGTTTCTTCTCATTGAATGCACACACCAAGAAGAGTGCTCTTGGTCCAAGAGCACGAGTTTCTATCAAATTGTGACATTGATTTGAGATCACAGGTACTTCAAATGAGATAATTTTATTGTTTCAAAGAAATATAGTTGTTAAAACTAAGAAAAGCGCAACAAATCCTGTCCAGACCAAATAAAACCTCCCTTTGATGTACCGATCAAGGATCTAACGCAATGGAACGCCAACGCCGACCTTGGAAAGCGTTGGCTTATGTTAGCTCTGTAACTGTGCCTTGGCTTGCGTTGTAATCTCAGTCTGTACGCGGCTTGAGGTGGTGGCAACACTGACAACTGCCACCTGCAAATAGCTTGATATCTCGTCAGTCCATACTCAAAAATGCAGAAGGCTTTTATGCCTCTGGCCTACACTATATAACAGTTACCGTTCTATGAACCGATGAGTGTCTCTCACCATCTTTAAAAGGACGATCCGTAAATCAGCTGGAATTCGAGGTATTCTCAAGGATACCATAAATGGAGCGCTATACAAAACTGCACGAAACGATACAGCCTGAAATGAATCTGTCACAATGACAAATCGCATACAATGTTGCTTCATGCATTTTATCAATTGTCAATACGGTATAGAGGTGAAGTCGTGTGGAGCATACATTCACTTCAACCATAGTTTTGTATGCACAATCGTCGATTTAAGAAAGTGCAATGTCACTGTGATCCATGTGTGTCATGCTGGCATCCCGATTTTGATCATTTTTCCTATTTAAAATACCAATGCTGAAAAACAGATTCTTGGGCGGTGCAGATGTACTTGCATACATCTTATGGGCAACGACAATAAACTGGGTAACAATGTTATTGCCCGTTAAGTGACGGTAATATCAAGACAAAGTGAGGCATGTTGATAAAAAAAATGATACAAACGCGCTTTCAATATAAACAGTGTTTGTATAGTAGTCACTCATAACGTGTGGTTATGCCTTTTGTATTGCTTACAGAGGCATTGGTGGGTAACGTCATTTGAAATCAACGTTACTATTGTGATGGAGTATGTCGCCTACTTACGAAAAGTTTTGTCATTGAGGACGATGAACGAGATTACAAAAAGTCATTATCACATTGAACGCTAACCAAAGAAACTCAAGGATATAAACATTCTATTTATTTCGATGCATTCCGCTATAATTTAACACAGAACTCAAAACTGACAGTTAGAAGTAGGGACGTAATATCAGTCCTGACACAACAGTCAATGTGTTAAACATAGCAGCCGTAGTGCTAAGATTAAACAACCGATACTTTGTTTCCATCTAGTAGTTTTCCAAATTTGTATTTGTATCAACATTGTGCTGATGTTTTCAGCGATTATCATAATCAATGACAAGGCGCCCTCAACGTATATTCATGTAAATGTCCAATTATCGCCTTGGCCCCTAACACACGCGGCACCAACGGTGAGCTGTTTTTGATTTGAACAACTTTACAAACGCTGCACTACCTCGCTTTTATGTGTAACTTTGACCGACCGCAGCCACCCTAGAACTCCCTTATATCAATAGAATTTACTTGAACAATTACAAATATGAAATTTCCTTCTACGTAGGCTATTATGCAACTGCAAACTAATGTGAATGCCGCCAAACTGGCATGCCATTCTCCCAAACTTTGCCCAATATTGTACATTCCTGGGTGTCGAGGCCGCCTCTCAGGTCTCCCCCAAAATTATAAGCCGTGAACTTAACCATCGGTATTGCTTATTTATTATTAATGGATTTCCATTAGAGTTGAACAATGACGTCTGGGAAGCATGGCAAGGGTGAACGGGGAGCCGCACTGGCGTCCGCAGTAGCTGCTTTCCCTTCCCTCGACCACACACAGAGAAACGTTTTCCTTGGAATGGACGACAAGGGAAATTTCGGGGATTCAGGCGAATTCATATTAAAGAATCTTGTCATTACATGTGGTCCATACTGAAGAGATCGCTCTTGGATCAACGTTAGTCATTTTTTGAACTATACAGCAAGTCTAATAATTCGTTGAACTTGTGCTATGCCTATGAATGTTACACAAAAAAGTAACAATATTGAGTATATACTCTATTAAATAGTGTTTTTGAACGTGAGCGTTAGTTCCCATAAGACATATACAAGTTAAAATTGAAAGTAACAAAAATATCTGGTTGGTTAATAACACATTGAAATAATGAGAAGATATCGCTGAGTTTATGAACAGTACTATAAAATTATAAAATCTAATAAAAATTCATCTAGAGTAAAAAGCTTCATCCACTAAATAATTGTATAATTTGTTTGTAAATGTAGTGAGGACACGTCTCTCGCATGTACAAGAATTTGTTATATTTTGTATTTTTCTTTGATGCATCGTATTCATTTGTTCTTAAAAAACGCATACATATGACTATTTTTACGTCAATAAAATTTTATTAACAATTAAACAAATGTTGTATGTACTATCTCTTTTATCTATTTCACGTGCATTTGCTTTGGTTGAACTTTTTGTTTTATAGTTCATATAGAGTTATTTATGTTAAGATATAAATCTAACATAATCTAATGGATAACAAAATTACATGGGAAGTGCAGGGTCAACCTACTTGATGCTATTTTCTTAAATAAAATTCATTTTTCCTTTTTCAAGCTTCAAACATGTTTGACACTAAAACTTTTTATATATTTTAACATTCTCTTGTAGGTTGGACAAATACATCTAAAGTACCATCTACTTCAAAAGAAGGAATGAATAACAACAGCTCTGGTAAGAGTGATCGAAGAAATTTACTATTTTTTCACTACTTTTTTAGAAATCTCACTTTTCTCACTGAAATTATTGCTTTGGGCTACCAGCACTGCTGTGTTTTCCAATAGGAAAAATATATTTTTAAATTTTTAGTTCGTTTTATTAACAATTGGAAAAATGTTGTTTGTATTATTTCATTTATTTATTTCTTGTTTGTTTGCTTTGATCGTACTCTTTGTTTTATAGTTCATATAGTGTTATGTTTAGATATAAACCTAACATAATTCACTTGATAACAAAATTACATGGGAAGTGCAGGTCAACCTACTTGATGCCTTTTTCATAAAATGGTGGTCAGGTTCATTTTTCCTTTTTCCAAGATTCAAACGTGTTTGACATTGAGACTTTTTACATATTTTAACATTCTCTTGTAGGTGGGACATCTAAAGTACTTTGTACTTCAAAGGCAGGAATGGATAACAACAGTTTGGTAAGTGTGATCGAAGAAATTTGCTATTTTTTTGGTGGTGTACGTATTATTTATTTTATTTATTCCATGTGCATTTGCTTTGATTGGACTTTTTGTTTTATAGTTCATATGGCGTTATGTTTAGGTATAAACCGAACATAGTCTAATTCATAACAAAATTATATGGGAAGTGCAGAGTCAACCTCAAACATGTTGGATAAGCAGCTTCAGCGCCTTAATAGTTATTTGATCCTCCCCAGGCGCTATGCGCACCTTCAGGTCTTTAATATGCTGCTATGCAATACGAGATGTCGGGAGATCACGCTGATGTGCTATGCAACTCTTCAGTTGAAGAACCTTCCGAAAAAGAATCTTCCGAAGAAGAATCACTAATGGCGACGCCGGATGGTCCCTTCCACAGCTCGCACATTTGCGCGCCTCTTGTCCTGTTTGAGGGCACAGAGATGTGCCATTTGGTCTTGAGCACATTTGAGACACTTTGGAGGTGCAGTGCAATACGACTGGGCGTCTCCATACTTCAAACAGCGGTAACACTGCCCAATGAGTCGAAAATTCTTTTGAACCTCAACTCTGTTAGAGAGCCCCAGCAGTTCATGTTCGTTGAACACTTGCTGTGTTTTAGGCAGGATCACCAGTACCAAAGGCATGGACACGCCGCCGTTGCGCTTCAAGCGAATTACCTGGAGGAGAGTAAGAGCTCCTCTTGGATTTCCTGCTAAGCAGTTGATGCTGGGATTCCTCCGATAACAGCGTGGATGTTACGCTCAGATGGCAGAGGAAATGTATGGTGAGGAACATCTTCCGATACTCGTCTTCGCTTTTAGGTACGATGCGTATCCCAGCATCAACAGCTACGGCACGATCAATGTTAATACCAAGGCTGATAAAAGAATAATTGACATTGCGCCACTTTGCCGCGTCCCGCAGCACAACAGGTGTAGAACGCCCCTGACGGGGCGATTGTGCCTGCGCACCGAGAGTAGAGTTTGATGACGGAGAGGAAGAGTTGCTGCCAGCCAAGGAAGCAGCATGTGATACTGAAATAGAGTTGCTAGGTGCTTGCATTTGAGAGTGCTTTGGCTTTCTTGCAGAATCAGCAGAAGAAACAGACACAGGCGATGTTATGACCATTGAATTCGTATTGATTGGGGATTTCTTAGTCGTAAGGGAAGGATATTCGTTAACTTTACGAATCCGTTGTTTTTTACGTCTCTGGATAGCGGTAAAATTACTACCCTGTATAGTATTCTGCCTCTGTGGGTGAGGTAGGGCTGATGTGTCTTATAAAGGGAGTCTTAATAGAGCTATCATCACCGGACATGAATTGATTTAACGAAGTAGTGAGGCTAAAAACCGGGGCATTGAGATTGTCCACGCAGTCCGTAAGTTTCTTGATTTGAGCTGCCTGGTAAGCGATGATTTAGTGTAGCCTTTTCGGTGTCTCTTTCAATCTCTGCAGCTGTCAAACTCTCACTAGGATTCGTATTCTCCAACCTCTCGTTGGCAGCTATTTACTTCTGCTCCACTCGCAGTGCTGGAGGGGTCGCCTGGTGACCCCGGGGACTTGCATTCCATCTTATATGCGCCTTTTCTCTCAGCAGATCCTCAACATTTTGAAGGAGCAAAAATCTGACAACTTGCCTTTTCCCTGTCTACAGGGCGATTCACACACTATCATAACAGACCCCTCTTCACAAGATCAGACCAACCACAGTGCGTCACCTGGAACACCCCTAACTGTGAAACATTCCAGTGGAGTACCGGGAGTTCTCAGTGCAAAGACTCCTTTATGATGTACCGGCACTAGACCTTAAAAGTGCACACACCTCAGTAACACCGTTTGGTTTCTTAAAGCAATCAAATATGATTGCTTACTTGAAGATTATACCATAGATTAATATATAAGTAAGATTAAACCAAATGAAAATTTTATTTTACATGAAAAGAGACTCTGTAATTAGTGTCTTATTAGCAAGGTAGACAAATGGCCACAATTAGTGAAGAGTCTGATTTAAACACCGTGTGTTGAACGGCGACACCGACAGGATATAGTCTATTTTGGACATATCATTAAACAGATAAAAATACTGTGTATGATACTACTACTACGGATTTCAATCACATCGACATATCCAAGCACACATTTTTCGTACAAGGTTTAGTACAGTATTATAAATTTTCGTTAATGTGGGAGCTTAGCTGCCTTATGCGTCACCACAATAAATACTAAAAATCGTAAAGCTACTGCTATACCTTTGATTTTAGTGGAAGGGGTAGACGAGACAAATTGAAACGACATGAAGCGACATTGACATTTCATATTAGGTGATTTATTACAGGGTCACCAAGTCCTAGATGACATGGCCATCGATAAGACATACGTACGAGCCTTTTTACTCTGAATGTTGCTTAGGCATTTACACTGGACGGTATACACAGACCTAGTAGATAAGAGTTCACTGTTCCGCGACAACTTTTGCTGGGAAAGGCAAATACGTAAAGCAGCGGACCGTCAATAATACGGCTAGACCTACTGAGGCTTTTTTCTTTCAATAAATGAATCGACCTAGATCACCAAGTAAGTATACCCAAAGAAAGCTTCGACAACTGTCTATTGTTTTATCCAAAGAAGCACTACGATGTGTAAAGCCTTCCAAGTTTCTGATACCTTATTCTGTACGTACGTCTAATTCCCTTTTAGTAGGTATAAAATTAACTGAAGGGAAAACTTATCTGGCGTCTTCTAATTTTTCACCCCTCACGTTCGTGACTGGAATCTAGTGCGGATGTTTTTTCTGGAACTAATGGGTAAGAGTTCTCTAAAGGATAAACGTTGACACTAACTTCGAGGACGATATTCTTGACGATCAAACATTAAAGTCAGAAGGTTGCTTAATAATACTTTGAATACATCAACGTTTAGCAACAAGTGACAATGTAATGACAATCATTAGAATCGGTACTACAGCAGATAAAGACTCAAAGTGATAAATTATTCTAGGTCATCCAGGTGCCACTGAAGGAGGTACATTTCAGCTTCAGAGAGAGATATTACAAAATAAGGTGGACCTGGTGTGACATGAGGCACTACAGGGAATTGAGAGCCACTTGTCACTTGTACAAGTTAACAAGAGCTTTCAACGTCACAAAAATGTGAAATTACCATCTTATGATTTCAGTCAAAGGATCTGTAAAAAATCAATTCACTAAACTCCTACTTGAGCGGGAAGCAAAATTAATTTTCAGTATGCTGTCTATTGACTACAGTTCTATGTATTCCACTTTTGATAACTCCACCCCAACTATCGTGACTGCTATCGAAGCAAGAAATGCTTTCACTCGCTTTTAAAGAGTGGGAGCGGTCAAAACAGCACCTTCCTCTGTTTTCGACATCTTGATCGATTTATTTGATTACCAATAGAGTGATAGTGGTCAGTGAAAGGGCATAATGAAATACAAGGGGAAATCCATTTCAGTGAGGGTGATAAGTACTTGGGGGTTTGCCGTTTTATTTATGCTTTGTGGATAACTTCCTCGTCATTGGTTAATTGGTTTTATTGCAACGTTGCTTCAACAAATGCAAAATGATAGTCAGAGGAATCAGTGAGTTGAAAACATTTCACGCATTTTTATTATTCGTTCATAATCAATCCATTATTCATACGCAACGTCCCCTTCCCTGAGCTTCAGTTCTAAGATGCAAATATTTTGAACTCGTTCTGTTTAATCGAAATGGACATAAAATACCCTTCACTAAGAAGCTATGGTGAAAAGTAGCTAAGGTGTGACGAACTTCCTCTACACATTGTATACAATAATTTAATGAAATGGTACTTACGTGACATATATATTGAGAATTCGTACAAAACTTTACTTAACGTAAAATGCATAAACTCAATGACCATTGCATCTAAAAGACACCTGATTTAAATGTACAATGCTTTTCCTAGTTCACCAGAGTATCGAAGTTATCCGCCATGTTAATGCTTGAATTAGGCCCGTATCGTCAGTCGTCCCTACGATTTTAGGGCGCGTTTATAGCCTCCTTGATTGTCATAGTTTTCTACTTCTCCATGTCAGCGCTCTATTTTGAGGTTATGTCACAAACATCTATTTGCATCAAATTGTGCTTGCTTTTGAGTTTTATCATGTTTTATCAGCCTGAAATTTCCTACAATTTAAAAGGAAAACATATCTTAACAATAGGAGAGCGCTGACGCTGACACGGGACGAGTGTAATCTAGAAACTTTTGAAGGAGAGAAAAGAGTATGACAATCAAGGAGGCCATAAACGCACCATAGAATTGTAGGGACGACTGACGATACGGGCCTTAGAGAAAATGATAATGTGGGGTAAATAATTGTAGCGAATAAAATCGGAAAATAATAAGTACCATTTTGGCAGCAGAACGGTAAAAGCAGTTCAAATATACATCAGGAGGAACTGGAAGGCAGTTATCCGCCATAATAATGACTCGCATTTGATAAAACGATAATTTGGTGAAATGTCGAGACACTAGTGAAACAGTTTTACTTTGTACATTTTTTATATAATTTCCGAAAGTTCGGGTGGTACGAATAGTGTACCAGAGTACATCAATGTAAATTATTGTTGATTATGGAAATGCTGAAAAGATGCTTTATTTTTTCCTAAACATAGAGGCACCTTGCAAACAGTACACATCCAATCAGTCCGAATCTGTTTTTTTTTTTGAGGTGCTGGGATAGGCGCAACGACGTCTGGTGGTTCTTTGTGGGTGATGAGCACTCTCGGTTGTACGTATTTCAACATGCACGTATGGTTTTGACTTCTTGATTGGAATTGGTACTGAGCTAAGTGATATCCTTTTCAGATTAACAGTACGATTAGACAAAAGATAATTCACTACTTGTCTTCTGTAATCCTTCATCGATAGTTCTGGCAAACTCAATTCTTTATACAAAACAAGTGAATTTACAACCGCCATATCCAATAAATAAAAAAATATGCGATGCCACCACTTCTTTGATTTGCGATCGATTTTATAGACATTAAGATTTTGGTCAAACTTGTCAACAAAATTCATGTTTTTGTTATAATCCATTAGAGCAGCTGGACAAGAAACCTTACAAATGGCTCCAATCTTATCTCGCCTGTCAACCTCGGCAACAGCGGTGGCGTTGTGAAAATTAGATAGCAAGTGGACACTTCGTTTGTCTCGCCATTTTATGGCAACAACGTCTGTGTTAGAAGTAAAGATTTGAGATTCGCCACGTTTGAAGGACTTATCTGGATTGAAAATAGGAAGAAATTTCCTTTTCACGTTGACTGTTCCACATGCGATTTCAGATATTCTAACAGTGGTACACTGTTGAAGAAGTTGTTAAAATACACTATATGGTGTTTTGCTTCCATACCTTCTAGTAGGTTTTTTACCACCCTAGCACCGAAGCCTTTTTCTTCATCATTAGATTTTCCTGTATATATTTGGAATTTTTGACAATAGCCATTTTTATTAGCCAGTATCCAGACCTTATACTCTCTTTTAATTGGCTTTTTGGGTAGATATTGTTTTAGTGAATGCCTTCCTTTAAATTTAATCATGGACTCGTCTATGCACACTTATTTGGTAGGAGCCATGCAGCTTGCAAAATTTTTAGACAGGCTATTCAGAAGTGGTCTTAGCCTATACAGTTTATCGTAGTCTTGTGCTCCCTTTGTAGGCATCAACAAATCATCATTCAAATGAAGGTTTGACAGAAACCAACTAAAAAGTTTCACTGGCACTGAAATAACAAAGGTAATGTGTAGTGAAACGAGGGCGACCAAGTAAAAAAAATAAAGGAAAAAGTACTCACTCTCCAGTTGACGAGAAGGGCTAAGTAAGTCTCTGCCCGAAATCATACCGCTCCAACAGAAAATGAAATCAGCTGAAGCGCTACCGAGCAGACGCAGAAACCACATTGATTGTCTTACACTTAATGGCACATCTTCTAACAAGGAAGGCAAAATGTTGCGTTTAAAGTCTAGGTATTGCATCCCGTCCAATCGATTTGGGAGAACAAATGGTCCAATGAGCATACCGTTCACCATGCCAGCCCAAACATTCACCGAAAATGTTTGTTGAAAGTGTGCCCGACGGACAGCGTGCGGATTTTCTACTGACCAAACATGAGTGTTGCGAAAGTTATTCACCCCATTACGCGTGAACGTAGATTCGTCTGTCACCAATATGCACTTCAAAAAGTCCGGATTATTGTCATGTTGATGCAACAACCACTCACAAAACCGCACTCTTGCTGGAAAGTCGTCAGGTTGAAGGGCTTGTACACGTTGGACGTAAAACGGATACAGCCCCTCTTCACGCAGCGTTTGCCACACTTTAGGTTTTGATACTTGCACTTCTCTAGCTACGTCTCTAGTGCTTGTTGAGGGATTCTCGTCTACGCGATTACCTCTTCATGCGTGACCGTAATTGTCGGTTGAAGGTTGCATACTGACCTGACACACTGACCCCGACCCAGTTCTGCCGTCGGGTTGAGACATTGTACCAATCGGTGATGTCCCGGGTCGCGGCTACAGGACAGTATTCGGATATTTTTGATGTTGCGGAGCCCTTTATCTCGGTTCCCTTAAGACATTGGTGTATATGGTACTAAGAAAAACTTTGCGGACACCCTGTATATGCATCATTCAGATCTGGGCAGCTACTCCGATAATCTCTACAGCTGTGACTTCTTTTTATCCACATCAATAAATGTATACCCAAAAAAGCTTTCAGGTCCGATATATCTATTTTTCTAGGCTTATTAGACGTTGGACGACAATATAAATTAGTTTGAAAAACTATGTCTTCTAATATAGCGTCGTTGAAGAAAATCTGCTAAATAGTTTTCCCGGATTAGGAAAATCCAAATTTTTCAATATATCAGTTATTCCTGCGCCAGCAATGAAGTGTATTGGTTCTATTGGTACCCTATCTTTTGACCAATCACGAGTGTCTTTATTTTGTGCCATCTTCATTTGTAAAACTGAGAGAGGAAGGTCACACTCCGAATCTGATTCGCTTTCAGACTGTAAAATATCGGTGAAGTCAGTGTCGATATTTTGTACTTCATCTTCTGACTGGTCCACGATTCATCCAGAATCTGAAGGTATCGCCTCAGTGTCAGCATCATTAATTTCGCACACTAATTCCTCATAGGTCACATTTACTAATTTGAGAGGTAATGAATCCATTTTCACTCCCGGAAAAGAGAAACAACTGTTGAGGGGCGATGGTACAAATAAAGTTCATCAACAATAATAATAAAATTCAACAAGATTATAACATACCATAAAAATTATATGCTACAGACTCTATTATAATATGTTTATGACAAATATGAAACAGTTTCGTGTTTTTTTACTTACTTTTAATCAATTTCTTCAAGAAAACTCAACTGATGACGGTTCGTAAGACTTAATCTAGCCTCATGTACATACGCACTGAAATGTACCTCTTCATTATTACTAGAATTACAGAATATACCTTCCAGGCGCCACAATACACCAGTTCAGAATTTGGACCGTCGCCCGGTATTCTAAAATTATTTAATCGGGTGGTCTATTTTATGTACCCCTGCCCCATGGCATGCACATTTATCTGGGTACATTTTATGTACTAGTACCCCTAAAAGAGTTAAAGAAACAGTAATGAACGATTGCTTAAGAGCAGAATGATTTTCTATATCTGAATAGGAAACATCTAAAAACAAACCTTTCACATTGCATTCTTTGAAGTAGACCCAAAGTTAATGTCGATAAAAAAGAACACATGCACATTGGCATTTACGTTTTAAACCTGGCACAAACTCGTATGCTGCCAACTTCCTGAGAAGTGGAGGTGTTTTAGGTAGGCTGGAAATAAGAGTAAATTTTTAAATTTCCAATAACTACACCACAGATCTCAATGGTAGCAGAATTCTGAGAAAAAAACGATTAAGGCTAGTAAAATAACACAGACTATTACATCAATTTTGTCAGTAGCGTGCATGCAGCTGCAATGGAAATAAAATACCACAGAGATAGGGTAAAATGAACACTTATCTTTGTCACATTTATTGAAGTCGTAACTTCGACGTTGTTATTTCGTATCTCATTTCATCGCTGCTTCATCTTCAATGGAAACGTGATTATACACGGTGTAAAACCATAAAATTTACATAAGGTGATCAGTGCAGATTAAAGGAAGAAATGATTTCGAGCGAACATCAATTTTTTGTAGCACCATCAATCTTTGACTGTTATCAGGCAAAACAGACATTTAATGAAAAGAAAATAATCCTCTGTATTAGTAATCGAAATGATTAATGATCTGAGGGATTTTAAAGGATTTTCGGTCTTGTGTTGTGCTTGGAACTCGATAAACTAGGGCACTGGAACTGGCTTGAAGCGGGACTGTTTAGCATAACAATAGCCGAATATCGATCTGATAAAATGTGTGGCAATAAAAGTCAATACGACATTCAGGAATTTATAAACGATAACAACTGGTCGGGAGGAAAAATTGCATGAAAATCGTTGTTTTTATCATAAACAACCATTTTAGAAATCAGTTCAAATGAAAGACTCCTTAAGTGAAAAAGGCTTAATGAACGTATATTACTTATGCCCATTATGTCTTGTAATATTATGATCTGTGATAAACCACTACACATAATTGAATAATTGGATCAATTTATGGTATGAAACTATTGGACTCTTGTGGAGAAGTTTTCAAATCGAAGGGTATCCTAAATGTTTATTGGAATTACATGTCTTGTGAGACATGTAATTCCATACATGACATAGTATGTGTACTAATTCAGATTTAGATTCCTAAGTAATTCATAAACATACTACCACATACTTCAGTCTCCGTACTATAGGTGTATAATAAATTATCAGTGAAAATCCAAGATTTAAGAGAGTAGTTAAAAAACTATAACTATATTACAACATTTCTTCCTGGGATATACAAGTACCAATTATTTTTTTATGTATTTTTTATATGTTTCAACTTTATTTTAACACAGATAGAAGTTATGCCGAAGTGGTTATTAAAGAACTAACAAGGAACTAGGAAAAGTGAGGTTATTGGAAATCGTCTCTATTTTAGCAGCTACTGTCAAACTCATTCGTTTCATGTCCATATAAAATGAATCACCTAAAGCCTTACTTGGAAGTGCTTCCCTGAAAAAAAACCTTTTTGCACTATTGTCCTGAGAGAACGCCATTAGTTACCGTATTTCTCAGAGAAGAACTTACATTCCTGCCCTTAGCTCAATAATGTAAATGAAAAAGATAGATAAATGATGAATCTGCTTATGAACTTATGTTGTTGATTATGCTTATTTATCCCATAATTTTGTCAGATTCAAGGTCACAGGTTAGGGGCCGTTCAAGTATTACGTGAGCACTATGGGGGGGGCGGGGGGATCTTTGCTTTGCTTATTTTGGATGACATGGGGGGTAGGGGAGTCTAGATGATGATTACGTCATCGGTAGTTATTTACTTTTTTACACGAATGGCAACCCTCACATTGTCTTTGAAAACGATACGCATTTTCGGGGATTCCCGCAAATAATGCATACGTTTAGTGAACAGCGCGCGGTAACTGCCCTACTCGCTTTAGAACCGAGTAGGGGAATTACCGCGCGGTGTTCACTTGTCTAAATTTCCTTTATCAGTGTATTGTTTCGTTCGGATACTATAGCGAGTAGACGTATTGTAAACCTAGTAAAGCAAGTTAACATTTGTGTTACCATTGATTCCATTAGCCAAAGTTTAATGTTTAAATAAGATGTCGTTTCACATAGAGAAATCCAAGTTATACCAAAAATTGTTTGAAAGTTTTAAAAATCTCATACAGGTATGAAAGTACAAAATGTACAAAAGTTACTTAACGAAGTGTGGCGAAATTACAAATTACAAGCAAGATCCGACAAGGAACTAGATATTATTTTATCTAAGAGAATCGAAGAGGAATTTCAAGCGGCGACTAAGAACAAATCCAATCTATTAATTTTTTTTTTCTAAGGTGAGTGACGAAATCATTTTAGGTACCTATGAGTACTAGAAATATTAGAAATCGCCAAAAAGTTTCTCTTTACTGATTAGAAAATATTATGGCCTATCTCAAAGTATAGAGGTAATATTCATTATATTATAAATTTATTTCTTATGATTGGTTCCGTCAATTGGTCACAAAGTAAAGGATGTTAGTTTTATACATATATACAGAAAACTAACACCCTGTATTTTGTGACCGGAACGAATTGCTCGTTTAAACATATTAGATTTAGAGCCATAGGGTTTTGTATTTACCATATATATTGCCATACTTTCTATTTATGTAGCTTAATAAGAGAATCTTTAGCAGAAGCCATAGAAATATTAAATATTATATAAATAAATATTAAAAAAGAGGAAGAAGATAAAAAAAACCGGTAATGAATCACAACAGCAATGCGAAATTAATGAAAATACAGATAAATAGAGAGCAAAACCTTCTCAGGAAGCTATGAAAAATAAGATTACTCGAAAAAAATCTGAATGCTTTGTATTCTGTCAGAGATTCTATGCCAAGCCGTGCTGAAGCTGATAAACAGATCATTAAGATGCGCAAGGAAATAAAAACAGCAAAACAGCCTTTAAACAGGAAGGTTCAAAACGCAGTTGCCCAGAAGAAACACAGGGATAGTATGAAAAGAAAGTTAGAAGATATATATATTTGTCATGAAAATCCAGAAATAAAAAAAAGACTCTCTGAGGGATTCAGTGGGACGTCCTAATCTTGAAAGCAATCAACATTCACTATTGAAAACAATCGCGGATATAGCTTTATTTGGGAGTGCAGTAGATGATAGAAGACGAACGGAATCAATTCGCAGCGTAAAATCTCTTGATGAACTCACACAAGAATTACGTAAAATAGGATTTGACATTAGTCGGAGTGGGACATATCTACGTTTGATTCCCAGAAAATCTAATTCTGCAGAGGGATGAAGACATGTATCGACAGTTCCTATTAAGCTCATTCGGGCTCAAACTGATTACCACAAGAGCAACTTAGGTAGCAAGTTCGCTGAAACATCAATCCATTATCTAGAGAACATAGCATCCATACTTGGACCAGATTAAGTATTTTTCATATCTCAAGATGATAAAGTTCGAGTCCCTATTGGCGTAACTGCGGCAAATAAGCAAGCGCCTCTTCTAATGAACATGGAATATAGAATCAAATTGCCTGATCACGATTGGGTAATCGCCGAGCGTCATAAATTAATATCATCTGTTTATGCTGGTATCAAAATCACTTCCAAAATGCTAGGACAACTGCAAGCCGTTGCATATTCTGGAGCAACATTCATCGCTATTCGAAGTGGAAAGCATAGTTCATCTACTGCTAATACTCATGCTCAGGATTTCGAGATGCTTTTCGAACTTGAAGAGTTTCGACCATTAGCTAAAATTGACCATGGACTAGTAAAACCAGTGGTAATCATGACGGTTGATGGAGGGCCAGATGAAAATCCACGTTATCAAAAAGTCATAGGGTCTGCTATACAACACTTTGAGGCTATCAAGTCGAACATGCAAAGCGTGTGGTCTTTATCATGCTTCCGTGAAGTCACTAAATCGTCACATCGAAAATATCCATAAAAAACTAAACAGGCACACTGATAGGAAAGTTAGACCTGTATGAGTCGCTGCTCGTCGTGCTAATGAACTGATGTGCATTATTCAAAATTTAGAGCACCATGATGTTGAATGGCTCGATGAGAACGATGTAGACATTCCAAAATCCGATGAAAGCGAGCAAACTCACAACACAACAGCAATCGAAGCAATCCAATGTCATCGAAAAGTTACAATCTTGGATTCGGGTTTCATGAACTGAAGACTGTTAATTTGAATTTAATATATGTACCAAAAATTTAAAATAAGCTTGTTATGTTAGTAAGATATAATATTTTTGTCCTTTACTGTGTGTTGAATACCGTATCAGTAAAATAATCCTAAATCTGTTTTCTTATTTTTCAAATTATAATTATAACGTTATAATTATAATATTAAAAAAAACAATGCATTAATTGACAAATGATTACGTAAGCATGGGGGGAGGGGGTAAGAGCTTTGCTTACTTTTGCTGACAAGGGAGTTGGGGGGGGTAAATAATTGTAATAAATCTGCTTACGTAATACTTGAACGGCCCCTTACTTGACAAATTGGAATATTTGAAAATTAGGACAAATGAATGATGTTTCCACGTATGTTCGTATCCTCTTTTGACTTTATCATCACTACCATGTAGCGGCAGCATCTCTCTCCAACACACCCTTCTGTAATGCAGACATTGTATCGGTTTTTTCTGCCAGTGTTGCCGGATGTTAAAAAAATTATGAGATATGCTTATTCTATAGTTTAATCAAATTAAAGTGATAGTATGTCATAGTTGGTAGTGGGAAAAATTCTATACATAACTTGTTAACGCTTGAGTACTTTTATGTCATGATATATGGTTATGTATGAAGTTTGATTTGTGTTCATCATACTTATCTATTGCCTACTACCACAATGCCACATTTTAGCCTGTTATTAATTTTTCTGACTACAAATTCCCTGAGGACTGGACTGTACGTTATTCTCATAATATATCTCATTTTCTTTGTCTTAACATTTTGAAAGGCAGCTCAGCATTATGCATTATAGATTTTTTAATATTCAAAACAGTTCGGCTGCTCCATTTGAACATTCCTACTTATAAATAATAAGCTGGGTCTCCATTCATAACGAAGCTGCAGTCTGCCCGTTTTTATTTCTTCGAGAGCACTCAGACACAAAATGCCTGCCGCCCTCTCCTATAGACAGACGTCTCATTATTTAGCTGCAATGGTCGGCTAGATAGTCCAGTCGAATAAGACGATAACCGCATGAATAATAATGAGCCCGTTTATAAGAACTATTTTGCAGCTCATTAGGCGTGTCAGAAAGATACTCAGGATGCCTATTTGAATAGTAGAAATTCAATTATTATTATTCTTCGAACAAAAGAAATATTTACTTACGTTTTCAAATGCCACATAATTTCACGGCTTGGTGATGTTACTCCTATGATTAGTTTAGATACGACGGCAACACGTTGTGGCCTACCGCCTAGCTACCGTGTCAGCTGTTGCACCACTTAATGTTACCTCAATGTTAGATCGTTGGAAAGATGTTTGGTCAGAAGTTAGAAAAATTTCAAATCGGGACACGTTGTTTGTTACAACAATAAAAATACTGATGTCAATATATTTAAACCATTTCTCGCCAAACTATAGCTTATTTTTTTAAAATCGTTGATACAGAAAGCAAAGCATGACATTTCAACCCACTTGAATGATGTAGAGAGCTTTTAAACAAAAAAGCCATAAAGGCCCATTGGAAAAGTGAAATTAATTGTACCTCGGCTCTTAATAAATGATCTCATTTGTTTTATTTTTATTTTTACGAAAACTGTACACTCTAGGAAAAAATACAAGAGTAGATTTTTATTTGTAGAAGATTGAAGGTATAATTCGAAGAATTGCACGTTGCGAAAAAAGCAGTGGCGTACTATTTTTATTTGAAAAAATTATGCCACTAATCCCCTGTATATACGCAACTGGTGCACGATAACTTTAAGTAAAGACTTTTGAGTGTGGACAATACTTAGGTAAATCCACGTACCAAATTATAGTCAATTCCAGTTGACGTTTTTGAAGATATTTAAAAAAATTGTTTTTCATGTTTAAACTCTAAGACCCCGTAACTTTTTAATGAAGCTCTCCAGGAAAAATGTTTCATTGAAGACCCCCCTTAAAATGTCGTCCTGTGTATGATGTTTTATTTTTGGTCACGGCATGAAAAAAACTGAAAACAGCCTTGTTAGACTATGTTTGGAAGAATCCTCAAACGAAATAGAAATTCTAAAATTGGAAAAGAATATAGAGTCCATCAAAGTGCCAGTTGATATTTGCTGACATCTAGTGTCAAAAACAGTCTATTGCAGAAAGTCTAATTGAGCATAATGATTTGTAAGTTTGTCGAAATTGTTTGATAAAATTATTACAATGTACAACTTTACTTATCATCGACAATCGCCTATCTTTTGCCTAATTTCACTAGACTGTAGCTGTCTGAATGCGAGAACAACCAGATGATAATT